AGCATTTGTATATAAGATTCAATTCATAAGAAAACCTCAGTTATCGAAGATATTTCTTGTAATATTTGCTTCACTAACATAGTTGGTAGTAATACTTGAAGAAAACATGCATAAAGCGAATTCGCTATAATGGTTATACGAATTCGTTATACGGATATAACGAATTATGGATATAGCAAATTAAATTCCACAGGTCCCCAGGACTTCGCTATAACCGAGTTTTACTGTAACAGTGAACCGAGCGTGCATAAATTCTGTGCAAGTCGCTATTTTTTGGAATATCACCCGTCGTCAAGCAATGTTGACTGTTGCTACGCAAGAGGGTGTGGCTTCATTATTCAGCGGATAATAGTTTTTTTTAAAGAAATGTCTCTCGACGAATCAAATTCAAGTAATTTACATGAAAGTATAATATAAAATTTTATCACATATTTACCCCTTTATCCCGTTGATATAGCTCATATGATATCGTTTTCGTATCAACACTATGAATTTCTACGCCGCATGACGTCATGTAAATAAACAAATACATGTGCATGATGGGAGAGAATTCCAAATAATTCAGTTGTAAAAATTGATGGAGGTGGCTCAGGTTTGGTGAAATCTTCTAAATTTGAAAATGATGAAATGATCTATGAAGTTGAGATTGAGGGAACAGGTCTGACATTGCCATTTTCAAGTTACCGTCTCAAAATAGAGAGACCTGTCTCGCAGCAGACGATGTCTGGAACGCGTTTTGAATCAATAGATGAAAATGATATTGATAAATATATAAATGAACAAGAGAACAAAAACACCTGGAGAAAAACTTCTGCTGACATAAATTTGCTAAAATCGTTTCTTGAAACACAAAATGAAAGCAGACCAATAGAAGCAATCCCTCATTCTGAACTGAGTAACATTTTGTGTAAATTTTTCTTGAGTGTCCGCAAGCCTGATGGCTCAAATTATGAACCAAACACATTGCGATCATTTATGAGCAGCTTTGATAGATATTTACGTAAAAGGAAGTATGGATTTCAGATTGTTTCAAGCATCGAATTTGTTAAAGTGCGCGAAGTTGTCAAAGCAAAACAGCGAAGTCTTAAAGGCGAGGGCAAAGGAAACCTGTCTAAAAAGGCAGATCCATTAACTGACATAGAAATAAATAAACTGTGGGAATGTGGTCTATTAGGGGTTCAAACTTCTGAGAGTATATTAAATTCACTTTGGCTATTCAACACGATTTATTTTGGACTGAGGGGTTCAGATGAACACAGATCCATGTCGTGGGGTGACATTTGTTTACAAACCGACATTTCTGGCGTTGAATACCTAACATTCAATGAACGGCAATCAAAAACAAGACAAGGGATAAATCCAAGGGATGTTCGTGTAGTCAAACCCAAAATGTGGGCAAATACCGACGCGCCAGATCGATGCCCAGTTGCTATTTACAAACTATATTCAGAAAAAAGACCCGATGATTTTTCAAAACCCGATGATCCATTTTATTTAGCAACACATACCCAGCAACACGCTATGTCAGTCAAAGAACAATGGTTTAAGAGACAGCCAGTTGGCGTTAACAAATTAGCATCTTTAATAAAAAGAATGGCAAATGCAGCTGGCATTGGTGGAGACAAAAAACTCACTAACCACAGCGCTCGAAAACATCTAGTGCAAAAATTAAGCGAAAACAACGTACCTCCAAATCAAATCATGCAGATAACTGGCCATAAAAACATCCAATCCATTAACAATTACAGCAGCATCAATGAAAATTAATACAAAAGTATATCTGGCATCCTTTCGAACTCCGCACCTCCTGTAAACAACCCCGGATCCGCCACATTCAATTGGACACAAAACAATTCAGTCACAAATACCGCTGTACGGAACACTAACACATCCAACACTGGAAGTTCCATGATTGTCAATGTTTCAGGGGGAATTCAAAACTTCTTGAATGGAGACGTCCACGGTGGAAAAATTATTGTAAACATACATGAATGTTCAAACAAAACACCACGGAAAAGGCCGCGTGTCATCTATGACACGGACTCGGATGACTAAAGTCAATGATGATTATAGATGACTTTATTTGTCAAATTTCACTTCATTTGCTATTCTTAAACAAATTTTCATTCATGAATTAAAAAAAAATAAGTGCTGAAATACTTTCTTTCTTTTATTTTTGTACGAACTATGTCATACAGCGTAATATTATTTATAACGTTATTTGGTTCGAGGTAACCGAAAGGGAACTTTGAATTAGAAATAAAGACAAAACACGCATTTATAGTGAACAAAATATGTGATAAAAAGAATCTCTCATGGTTTGTGGTTTGATATGATTTTATCCAACTCCATTGGATGTTTTCTATCCCCTCGCCAAGGCTCGGGGATAGAAAACACACAAGTCGTTGGATGAAAGTCATATCAAACCACAAACCATGAGAGATCCTATATATAATAATGTTGGCACTTTGTGACTGTTATTTTACTTTTGGAATGACCATAGATCAAAGAAATGAAGGTATTGTTTTGTTTTCCCTGTGATTTATTTTGTGAATGTGACTTGACTCTACAGGTAGACTGTCTGGAGGTATATCTTCCCTAACTTGTGACTGTGGAGCATCTGTCTGTCAAATTGGGTCTGTGTCTGGAAGAACGAGTAAGACGTTTACATTTTAATATTATTACAAAATACCAAGTTTCTATGCTGTGACATTTTGAAAAAGAAACAGTTGGATGGAAATGAAGTGTTTACAAGGCTTGAAGTTTTTCAATCCCCTATGAAATTCAGTATTTTTCCTGGATTAAGGCATATTGTTATCTTTAAGAAAAGAAATGATGACCTTTTATTGTGATTTTTCATAATACAATTTCCTCTCTTTTCAACATTTTTACCATCAAGTTGTCGCTTTTTTCGACATTTTTCACTCGCGCATTTTCGAGAGAAATAAGGAAGACTGGTTAAGCAGTAAACTTCATCAATCAGAAACAGGACTGAAAGTATTGTACTTATCTATATATCGAATTGTTATAGTTTTTTTTATTTGTACTAGGTGATTTACAATTACAATTGATTTACAATGTACAATTCGCAAATCTATGTCAACTATTTATTGTTTTTTTTTAGCACAAAGAAACAAGAAACTGTTCTTTTGTTTCATCTGCATGAAGAAGGATATACATTTACATGTATATAACATAGCGTTATCATTAAGCCGTGGAGCTTTTCATCGATTGGGACACGGTGAGTGGTTTATGTTACAATGGATACAGCATGACACTGCTTATCACTACACTCAGTAGCAGATTTGGGTGCCCTTGCACGGGAGCAGTAAAACGGAAGTGAAGATAATTTTCATTTACTTATGTTTTACATTTCGATCGAATCGGAAAGCTTATAATTATACTTAGTACTTACATATCTTTCTTGATTGTTCTAAGTGTCCACTTCATGAATTTAATTTGGAGAGCGAGAAACCAGGAAGGGAATAGAAAAAAAACCTTCAGACAAACACAGAAAGGTTAGGAGATAGGATATTCTCTATAAGGCGTTCATTTTCCGATTTCATTCACATTATAAGAAGTAAGTGTTGTGTGTGCCACCCACAAAACACTTATCATTATTATCATTTTTTTTTGACACAGAATTACATACATATACTTTATTGAAAGAAAAAATCCCAGAATGATAACATTAAATGCTAGCCATTTTAATCACTTGTAGGCAGCTTTTAATAAGCTTTGACGAAAATGGGAAGTGTACGCTTAAACTGTAGATACCCAAATACTAACCTTGATCATATATATGTATCTTAATAAAATGATAAAACCCTAGCCAACTATCATGAACTATAGCACATAGAAACATTTTTGAGTTTTTTGAAAAATAAGCCTACATGTATCTAAATATGAAACTTTCTCCTCTCAGTACTCCGTCGGCCAGAAAGAATGAACTTTGAAATCTATATAAGCAATAAAGTCTGATAGTTTTAACCCTAACCCTCACTGTTTGTTTCCCCTATTATTCACTTTGAGGTTTGTCTAAACACTTAATATTGCTTAGCAATTCAAATTCTATAAAGTACTATCACCGGTATGATTATCTACTATTCTCTTTTATAAGTACCTAATTATGAAGGGATGTTTAACTAAAGATTTTACACTTTATGCAAAATTAGTCTCTTTAGACAAAGATTTCCATATATCAGAAATTTTAATTTGAAAAAAAAATGATTTGCAAAAATACATATATATTCCTTTTCAGGTTTGAAGGTATATTGCTGCGTAGAAGGGAAATTAGTTCGATAGTTAAGTTGGAGAGTCAACACGTTTATCAATGAAGGAGCTTGTTGCATTAAATATTCTTTTTGTAAAATATCAAAACATATGAATTAAACATATTGTAACTCTATGAATCTTTTGATGAGAAAGCTCATTTGGATAAACCGTATTATGAGAATGGAATTTTTTACATTTTTCTTTGAATATATCTAAAAATTTTCAGGTGAATTGAATATTTTTTCTTTTCACATATAAGATTTTTGACAAATTCTGCTTCATATGAAGGTATAAACAGCCACGCATTTCAATGACCACTCTACTAGTATTATGGACAGAAAATATAACAAACTTTCACAATTTTTAAAAAAAATTAACAATAATATGAGTGCAATAAAAGTTCCTTTTATGATAACAAACAATGATATAAATAACACTCAGATAAACTACATTACACATTGACATTTGATAGTTATTTTTACATAGAATAAAGAAAAAAGAAAAGCTATAATCAATTTGAGACAATAATAAAAATAATATTTATAACTAGGAGACTTATTGTTCACAGAACAATAAGAGGTCTTTCCACCTTCTTTGAATTTTTCAATTTTGTTTTATATATGACTCCTTAAAATTAAATTCCATGAACAAAAAAACAAAATTGTCTTAAAGGTTAGAAAAAATGAAAATAAAAAAAATTGAAGTGACCTTGACCTTTGACCTTGATAAAATGTTCAAGGTCAAAGGTCAAGGGTCACAATGCAGTTGTTTTTATTTCACCACTTATAGTTTTCAAGTTATAAGGTTTAATATTAAGTACAAAGAAGTTAAAGGGCAATAACTCATACATGACGTCATCAGATCCTTTCACATTTATACAGTGAAGTTAGGTCTAAAGACCCTTAACACATAAAGTGAAAATGATATCTCGAGACGGTATATAGTTTTGGAGTTTCGATAACAAAGATTTTTGCACAAGGGACCATAATTTTTAAAAGGATTAATCTTAGGGGACAAGAATGAAATCTATGAAAATTTTTAAGAGTACATATTAACGATGCAAAGACATTACGTATATGTTAAAAGGCAAAAGAGATATAAAAAATGTTTAATTTCTCATTTTTGGAATGACCTTGACCTCTGACCTTAACATAATTTTAAAGGTTAAAGGTCACTAAATCTTATGCAGTTGATTGCATAAATTTGACTAACAATCTCGTTTTGAAAAATTTTAATTATTTATAAATTGAAAGTTTCTGGCAAAACTCATTGAAGGGGACATCGAATACTTTCGAAATGAATAAACTGAAGACTCCTATTATTTAGTTGAAGACATTGGTGAAGGTTTCATACCTTTAAGGTTTATGTTTCTGAGAGATATGATAACAAGCATTTCTTGTAAATTGCATATATACTTTGAAAGGGGTCAAAGATCAAATAAGGGGTCATTTTTCGGAATAACTTTTATTTCCAATATCATGAACTATAAAGTTTTTCGATTAAGTCTTACAGTTATGGAAAACATCTCCAGACAATAAAATATATATATATATATATATATATATATATATATATATATATATATATATATATATATATATATATATATATATATATATGATAATAATAGATAGGAGAAGCTGTGACAAATGTGATAAACACATGTATAATGGAATAATATATTTTTTTTAATAAAATATTCATGAAAAATTTTTGAGTGAAATATAAGTTAACCGCATAGGTTTTCATTTGTCATTCAAATTTTCACAATTGCTGTAGTGAAAGTGAAAAAAAGATACACAGATTTATTAGGATAGTTGCAGATAGGTGAAATTTTAAACATTATAGACTATTTTTAATATCTTGATTTTAATATTTTAGAATTTTATTGTCTTGATCATTTACAACCAAATAGGTAAAAAAATATATACCAATCCATGCATTCTTTTTTGTTGGTACGAGGGGCATTTCAAAAGTCCTGAGAACTGTTTAATAAAGAATTAACCGTTTTACGGAAATTATTGAGTTTAATATCAATGGAAAGATCAGAAAAATATACACATATTTTGACGTCACTTTATAATTTTTATGACGTAATATCTCCGAAAATGACGTCACAATAGAGAATGTTTTTCATACTGAAAATTCGCGTGTTCATCCACATGGCACGATTTTAAAAGTGCTTTTTAAGGCTTATTTGAAAAAATATTTCAAAGAAAATTTTTATTTGCAAAGAAGTAGAGTAAGACTATGGTACTGTTCATAAAAAATTCTGTACTTCATTATTTGGTTTGTTTACTAGCACGGTTTATGTCCGGTTATGCTATCATCGACATTCATTCAAGATTTTAAGTTACATGATACGACTGGATTTTCGGTCTTTTATATAGTTCTCCATTGTATGAAATAAAATATTTTCAGTATAAAACTGAAATATATTAATGCAGTTTTCAAAAAATACATTTTCAGTAGCAGTAATCGTACCGTTTACAAATAAAATGTACAAAAGTCTAGCCCCTGACTTGTTTTTGTGCGTATTTTTTCTTATTAATTCAACTTCGGCACCCCAAAACGCACTACTGCCTCTGACTTTTGACTCCAAAAAAGGTTTATAAGTTACACAGACATGTAGAATCTTATTCAATTTCCATGAATTAGTTTTTGCGAATATGTGGAGGTACGCTGGGGTTACAACTGCGCCCGCACCATTTTGGATTTTACGAGAAAATATGGGGCACACTAAACTTAACTTCTCTTGAACCTTCATCGATCCCACAATCTGGTTAATACACCTGACGAATTGATGCCATCAAATTTTGAAACACGATTGTCTATTTTCCTTTGATTGCCAGCTTTGCCTTATTTTCACAATTAGGTCTGTTTTATGCAATGCGATGTTTGACAATTGCTTAAACCATTTTAGAACAAGAAGAACTCCGAAACAGACCACCATATGATAGATTTTAGTCTATGTAAAGATTCCACCAACTGTCATTTACGTCCGATAGCTTGCGCCCGAGTAATGAGCAAAAGTTGTTTTTAAAATTTTACTTTGATGAAATTGTGTCTTTTGTTACGTCATTTTTATGGCCAGTATTGTAAGCATGTGGAACTATGACTTCATTTTCGTAGTGATTACGTCATAAAAATTATAAAGTGACGTCAAAATATTTGTTTATTTTTCTGATCTTTCCAATGATATCAAATTCAATAATTTCCGTAAAACAGATATCTTTTTATAAAACAGTTCTCAGGACTTTTGAAATGCCCCTCGTATATCATATGTCATTTAGTAAACAATTGAAGTCTTATGTTGCAGCCCTTCTGGGCAATGGATGGCGTCCCACTAGTACTGCAATCGAACAACTGATTGTACGAAATGAATCCGTATATACTAGATGTGACACAGATATATCATTAAAGTAAAGAGTCAGTTATAATGATTTGAGAATAAGTCTTTTCCTCTAAATATTTGTGCGTCCTTGAGAATTTGCGTAGTAAGGCTTGTTTTTAAAGTATAAATGTTTTGAGTGTTTTTGTACAAGTGTCTTATCGAAGAACTCTGTGAAAACAATGAGGAAGATAAAGACCTTCAAACCAAGGGAAAAGTAGTGTACTAGGGATGAAGTATTCTCAATTTGTTAATAAATATATTTAAATGGAAAGGTGATCACAAAATGATTTTGAATAATAGTTACCTATTCTGGTTTGCGTGTGTTCTAAATGGAATTAAAGGTAGGTCAATATTTTACATCTGGTGAATTTTTTTTTACCAAATAAGTAAATATGTTATTTATTATTCAGTTCGTTCGCTGATCGGTTATTCGCAAAACTATGTCCATTTTGTTATTCACTCAATAAATACTCAAACCCAAAAGAAACGCTACACCCTAATTTTAGGGGGAATATTGTATACAGGTTATAACTTTGTACCGAAAAAGTTGGGACATCTTCAACTTTGCTAAATCAGTTATTTAACGGTTGAATAATTTTCTTTCAAATACCGGAGGTTTATTTTTAGCCCTCTTAAGGTAGTACACAATAGATAGGCCAAAGAAAGTGGGCGCTTTAGATGGCGATTCGGCAGGAATAGTGGCTCATAGAAAGAATTTTAAAAATATCATTGATTTATACATTTTTTTCAAAACCTAGACAATTACTGTGTTTTTGGTAAAGGTAAAATGGGCAAATATTCAGTTAAATATGTTTGATTTTATTTGAATATGCACCTGGCTATAGCCGTACCAGTCAAATGATGCAAAAATCGACTCTTTTGTAGTCGTTTTTCATTAATTTTGTTGTTTCTGGGTCTTCTCTCCATGAATTTTAAATGTGTTATCAGTGTATTTTTAACCGTAAAATTTTTTCCAGTTGTTTAAAAAAATGGAGAGACGACCCAGAAATACCAAAATCTAAACATTTTACATTTATTTTCTGGTAGAAAATTGACAAAGTCCAAATGTATAGGACTTTGGCTTTAAATAATGATTTAAATACCAGCTATGTATAGTGTTCCGCGGTAGCTACATTGGTTTGTCGCTGGATTCAAGTTATATATATTGAAGCAGTATTTTAGGTTCGAATACAGTGATTTGTTTTATTTTATTTTTCTTTGAGCTTGAAATTTTTGAATTTTAAATACTTCTTGAATAAAGTAACAAATTATGTTTTATACATTATTTTACATTGTTTTATATTTCAATGCGTTTACATTTTGTCTATTATAGTGCTAACGTTCTCAAATGGAAATAAACATACATGAACTTGTAACTACAAAGTTACACCTGATGAACAAATATTGAATATATTAAAAAAAAACTAGCAACTTCGATCGTTCTGTTACATTCAATATTTTAGTGCATTTGAAAACTGAGCACAAAAATTATTTAGTATATTCTATTACAATCATGTAAATGTACAGCTGATGTATCCAGCATACTATGTATTAGATAATTTATCTTTCTTGACACCTTATAATTGAAAAAAAAATATTTACAAATAAACAAACAACAGAAATCCATTCCCATGCAGTTTCTATAAGATGTACGTACATATGCATTAAAACTACATGGTGCTTGGACATTTAAATCTGAATTGTTTCGTGTCAATGATTCCTGCCGACTGCCCATCTAGTGCACCCACTTTCTTTTTCCTCAAATTCAATTTTTCTGAAACTTTGATACTTTGTTCTAGGATACAAAATCTCTCTTTATATATGATATGAAAGAAATTCAACCACACATTTTTTGTCCATATAGTCTGAAATATGGCCTATCAGACCCCTGTAAGAAGATTGTGAAATCAGACATTCGACTTAAAAATGAGCCTTATTTTAGAATTATTAATTGGTCTATTGCAAATTTATTAAAATACTTTTAATAAAGATAACCTTTTTGTTACTTTAAATCAGTACGTCATATTGATACTGGAAAATTTTAGTAAAATATAAAGTAAAAATAGAACATAAATAGCGTCGGAATTGAAATTTCACATGTAAATATCCGACAGTTTAAGTTTTCTAAAGAGAAAATGTATAATTCAATTTTTACAAAAAAATTAAGAGAATGATTCAAATGGGTCCTAGAATAAAATGTGTAAAAATAAAGAAAATTGAATCTGACAGGGATCATTCATTGATGTCAATATAGTGATATTATTCTTTTTTTCTCCAGTACTTTTTAAGAAATTAGTTAAAATAGATTTCAGGGGTGTTTTGTCCTACCTTAACAGAAATCAAAAATTGCATGTTTATTAGAACATTTGACAATAATTTGGGATTTCAAGGTTTTGAATCTGTTAATTATTAGTATACATGTAGTAATAAAATTTCTGAAAAAAAATCTTTCTTTTCCGGATGTGATGCCTTTGTTTTCTCAAAATGACTAAGTACTTATTTTCATTGCTCGTGTTTGAAATTCTCAAAATAAAGGAAAAGGAGAGTTGCAGATACAAATATGCACTACATAACGAATCATCAGGCTCATGCGTTACAAAAGCATGAAAGGCAGTTTCTTGACCGGAAGTCCAAGAGTTACTACACTACACCAGGTTAGAGAAATTTGAGCTCAGTATCTGAAAAAGAATCACTTAAAATGCCTAAGAATATTTCTTTCGCTCAGATCAAGAGATTGATTAACCTTATGCACCGTAGCGTAGCGTGGTACAAGTTTAGCGTAAATAATATTATGACGTAATATTTTAATAAGAAAATAACTTTTATTATTCTATTAGACTTAAGAAAGTATAAAATGAAAGTAATTTGGCAAAAAATTAAAGATTAAATAAACTTGTTAAAGTGCGTGAAAATGCGTGATTGCGGGGAAACTGTATATGCGAGATTTTGCGTTAGAAATAGGAAATGGTATATGCGCTAACATGCGTGACTGTGGGGAAGGGGGTTAATATCGAAATTTCATTCAAAAAAAGTTTTATGTACCAAAGGTTAAATTAAAAAAAAAAGCATATGATATTATAATCCTTTCAAATAATAAAGGTATTTTGAATTCATTCATTCATCATTTCGTAAGTTCTATGGTCGATACAGTGACCTTGTCAGCAAATACAATTTATCATTGAGTCAAATGCTGACTGACGTTTTTCATACCAATTGTTAGTCCATTATTTATACACTGAATTGACGAGGGATTTTTTCCGTTATTTCCGTTATTTCCTGATCATGGAGCACACTGCGGGTGTGACCGGTCGGCAGAGGATGCTCACTCATCCCTGACACCTTATTCCACCTTTGATATCTCGGAGGTCCGTGTTTGCTCTGCTCTTATTTTGTATTATGGACTTTGAGATTGAATACTGTTCGTTATCTCCATATCCTTCATTCATTAACAACATGCTTTGAGAATATTGAATTTTAAAACGAAACAGGTTATTGAGAGATAAGTTGATATAACAGAAATTTATAAAAATCACGTAAAAAATAAGTATTTTTGAATGTATATTTTGGAAGCTTTTTTGAACGTTCTTTATAGCAATGATTAAGTCATGTAAATTTAATTAATAGGGTGGTTTTTAGCTGACCTTTTTTTATATATGCTTTTCATTTGACCTTGGTTTTTATGCTGAATCTGAATAAAATAATCTGTCTAACTATAAAATCCATTAAGCTCACGGCAGGTTTGACTGGTCAACAGGGGATGCCTTCTCTTCCTAAGCACCTGATCTTACCACTTGAGTACATGCTCTATGCCCTCACTACACTTTTTTATTGTTTATACATTATTTTCTCAACTCGACCATTGGACGTTATCTTGGCACTTTTCAGTTAAACAATTTTTAAATTCAGTGATTTTTAGCTCTGCTGGTCAGAGACCAGAAGAGCTTATGCGATAGTAAGGTGTCCGTCGTCCGTCCGTCTGTCTGTCTGTCTGTCCGTCCGTCTGTCTGTAAACAATTTTTCAAAATGCTACTCCTCCTACAGTTTTGGTCTGATTTTAATATAACTTGGCACACAAGTAGACTACACTAAGATACATAAAATAACGCATCGGTTTTTGATTTCGATGAACGGTGTTGCCATGGTTACTAAAAATAAAATGTTCTGTGAAATTCCTTCAAAACACTACTCCTCCTACAGTTTTGATCTGATTTAAATATAACTTGGCACACAAGTAGACTACACTAAGATACATAATATAGTGCATCGATTTTTGATTCTGATGAATGGTGTTGCCATGGTTACTAAAAATACAATTTTCTGTGAAATTCCTTTAAAACGCTACTCCTTCTTCAGTTTTGGTCCGATTTCAGTATTACTTAGCACATAAGTAGACTACACTAAGATACATAAAATAACGCATCGGTTTTTGATTTTGTTGAATGGTGTTGCCATGTTTACTAAAAATAGTATTTTTCTGTGAAATTTCTTTAAAACGCTACTACTTCTTCAGTTTAGGTCTGATTTCAATATAACTTGGCACAAAATTAGAATACACTAAGATACATAGAATAAAGCATCGGTTTTTGATTTCGATGAACAGTGTTGCCATGGTTACTAAAAATAAAATTTTCTGTGAAATTCCTTTAAAACGCTACTCCTCCTACAATTTTGGTCTGATTTCAATATAACTTGGCACACAAGTAGACTACACTAAGATACATAAAATAGTGCATTAGTTTTTGATTTCAATGAACGGTAATGCCATTTTTACTAAAAATAGAAATGTCTGTGAAATTCCTTTAAAATGCTACTTCTTCTACAGTTTTGGTCTGATGGCAATGGCTTCTTTTCTCATCCTTTGTTATAAGTACAAACCAGTAGAGCTACAGTCTCGACAGAGACTTCTGGTTTTAAATTAAAAGTAGATGCAGTTTCTGTTTCCTATCACTGTGACAGAGGATGGGACAAATTTGAAGATAAATGCTACAGACTGTTTCCTGAATCCAAGAACTGGCATCAAGCTCGTGATAGCTGTAGAGTCCATGGATCGACTCTACCGATAGTGTCAAATAGAAGAATCCAATCATTCATTGTCCAAAAATGTAATAATTCTTAATGCTTTTTTCTTAGATAAATAAATTCCAACTTTCATTATCATTTTTTTCAATGTCTATTAAAATTTTATTCCAAAAATGGAGACAAACTAATAATTGAAAGTGATATGACACTTTTTTTTGCATATTTTAAACATGGTTTTAAACGTAATAATATGAACTTTAGAAAAAAAAAACTGTTTCAATTATTACAAATGTATAATTTTTTTTTTAAAAAAGTTATTTTAAAATGGCGTTATTTGTTTTAAGAAATTTTTTCTTGTGATTTTGAAGACAGGCGTCTGTTAGGTCCATTTGGAGTGTATTTGGCGGGAACTGATGTTAAGAGAGAGGGAACATGGGAATGGGCTGATGGGGAGGAACCGTTTTCTTTCTCTACCTGGCAAAAAGGTATTAAGTTCTACCTGAAGGTCAATATTATTTTTAAAAAATGAATGCTGAATCTCACCTCAAGGCTTTTACAGCGCATTTCATTTTATTATACTAGTATTTTGATTTGAAGAATTTTAAGAAGCTGTACTCTACTTTCAGGAGAACCGAACAATGATGGTGGATATGGTCATTGTTTACATATGTGGAAGACACATCAATTTAATTGGAACGACGTTAATTGTCAGCTTTCCATTCCTAAATACTTATGCTCAAAACCAGGTATCATATCATCAAATTTCAATATCTATCATAAGAAAAGTATGACCCTTCACCGGCATACGGTGACGTCTCCATATGAGTGAAAAATTCTCGAGAGGGACTTATATACAATATACAATCAATCAATCAAAAAGTATGATTGTATTTTATACTAAATTCCTTTTTCATGTCACATTTGCTCAAAGAAGGCCATATTAATATTTACAAATAAGCAGACCTTAAGGGATTTCTATCCTCACAATGTTACTAGTAAGGGCTAAAAATAGAGTCACACTTTTTTTCACTTGATATAATCAAAACTACTTAATAATTGCAAAAATGTGTATGTTGCAATATTTGTTCAAGATGTAAGGCATACTAGTAAATAAACATAAACATACTTAACATAAAAAATCATACATTTTTAGAAAAAGTATTATAAAATTATGTAACTGCGCCAAATACATAATTCTGATTCTTATAATTTCAAACTTATTGCTACTTTTTAAATATACATGAATTGTGTTCGAATATCGGGGAATCAATATTATTATAGACAATTAAAAACGTGAAATATATAATGGAGATATCACCGGTACTTTAGCATTATTATTTTAAGATTGAATAAATAATTTGAAAAAGGAAACTTTACAATTTTAAAATTCTTTTACTTCACAATATTTCTCATCAAACCTATTGAACCTATTGAATTTCTTCGAAATAAGAATTTAAGAAAAGTCATAATGTTTTGTTGTTAGATTACCATTGGCTTCTTTGTCCAGTAAAAATCCAAATATTAAAACAGATGTGTTAGACTCTGCCGTATCTTAGATTGCAAGAATGATACCTTATTGATACAAGGGTCGTAAATAATGCAACTCATCTAAAAATTTGAAAAGGTATGTAATACATATTCTAAATAGTTTCAATCCTTTAATACATTCCCTGTTACCGTTTACACATGTATTATGTCTTTGTATCCATGCACAGAAAACCTCAGCATACTCATCTTTAGGGATTCCCAAAAGGCACTGACGAATATCATTTCCCATGACATACTAGTATCTGACATTGCACAATATTTCTTTGATTGTTTTCATGTGTTTTGGAATAAAAATATCTCATAATGTCTTAGATCTATCTAATATGACCGATAGAAAAGTTCTGTTCACTTTATTTTTTTTTTTCAAAATCTTTTTTACTTTTCTAGGCCTATAATATGCAACTGCGTTGTCAGTCACAGGAGAAATACCCTTGTCACCGAAATTTGGACTACCCTTGCAAGAAATTTGTTTAAATTTACTTGGTGCAATTCGAACATAAAAGTTACCATTGCTAGTCCTTCCTTTGGATACTAATGGACCTTTCGAAATACACGAAAACTAATGAAATATGTTTGGAACACTTGCCTCTCTTTATCCTTAGTAAAATGACACCTTTTCTTTGATTCCACATTTTTTTTTGATTATCAATCTTGTTTTTCGGCAATAAAAAAGTGCACATCGTTAAGTCATATTTCAAGCAAGTTTATCAAATCTTTTATTTAAAAAAAAACATCCTTTTTAAATAGAGCATTTCCACATTTACCACATGTTTTCTCTAAGGTATTTGTAAGAAAATTAGCCGTCTATCTGATAGAAATATTTTTAATTTTATTTCTTTGTCAGAATTCTACAAAATTATGTGATGATTTAATGTTTAGTATCTTAACGATGTCTTTCAACGTCAATTAAGCATTTTGAGATATTATGTGGCACATAACATCGATATATTTTGGTGCCCCCTTTTCAATCTGCCAGATTGATTGTAATATCTAAACACTCCTTTTTTATTCTGAGTTATAGTATCCATCTTAAAAGTATACAGCATTAAAGATAACTTTCTTTCTACATATAAAATTATAAAGTTAAACGAGACTTACCTGGAAGGTGAAGTTTGACTGTAATTTTTCCTCCATTGAGAGACGTAGGGATCAAATGGTCACCATATTTAATGATTAACATATCATCTCTCACAGAAATGTTTCTAACATCTAGAAGATGTAAACCTTGTTTTCGCTGTCCAGAATAAAGCTATAAACATTGCCAATTTCTTTGACAACTGAAACAAAGACAAATCCTGCACAGGAGACAATGTCTTTAGATATCCTAAAACCTTATTTACATCCCATGTAAAATGATGTTTGGGTAAAGTTGGTCTTTACAAAAATACACCCTTCATAAAACGTTTATCTAATATATGATCACCTATTTTCTCACTCGAGTGATCAGAAAGAGACAAAAATGAACTTAACGAGCTTCTTGCCGTGTTCAAAGCACTGTAACCAAGATTTTTCTTATACAAATTTGTAAGAAATTCTAAAACTAAATTAACATCTGTTTTAAATGGATCACTCTGTTTTTCACAACAAAACTGCAACCTTTTTTGCTGATAATCCCTATATTGTCTTTTTGTGGATTCCCGCCATGATCTGCAGATAATATTGACAGTTTCTTCTGATAATTCTCTACTGTACAAGCATCGCTGGACAAACTGAACGCAGCCATCTTCATCTTTGTCAAGGGATGTCGTCGCTTTGGATCTTTTGGCAATTTCAAGAGAATCTCTGTTTTCGGAAGAAGGTAACATGGACCTGCAACTTGATGCATCAACTGCGGAAACCATGGCTGCGTCTTCCACACTGGAGCTATCAACAGAGCAAACTGCACTTCCTCCTCCTCGATCTTCTTCAAGACACTGCTTATGACACTAAAAGGAGGAAATAAATAACAGTCAATATTTCTCCAAGAATGTGCAAAGGCATCAACTCCTATTTGCATTTGGGTCTGGTGTATATGAATAATATTTATTCAACTGAGAGTGTCCTTTGATGCAAATAAATCTATATCACATTTTCCACACAAATTTGTCAGTTTATCAAAAACCACTTCATCTAACTTCCATTCCATATCTACATTTTTGCTAGATAAGGAATCGGCTATAATGTCTGTTGCACCCTGGACATGTTCTGCACTCAGCCAGATATTCCTATCTATGCACCAAGTCCATAATTCACGAGCTAGTTCATTCAATGTTGAAATCTTGCCCCCTTGCTTATTAACATATGACACAGCTACTGAATTGTCCGTACATAATCTAACATGGGAGTCTGAAATATTTTCTCCTAAGCCTTTCAATGTGTAAAACCCAGGTAAAAGCTCTAAATAGTTAATGTGTGCCTCACAAATATTTTTGTCCCATAATCCACTTATTGCTTCACCTGAATCTTCATTCACTCCACCCCATCCAAACTTTGAGCTATCGCTTTTGAAAATGAATTTGGGGGGGGGGGGTCTAGTTAATAGTTTAAAGGATTTACACACATTAAGAGACCACCAGTTTAGCAATATCCTACTCTGATGAGAAATTGTCATATGAGCTTCAAAATTACCTCGATTAATCTTTAAATCCAAGTCTTTTTCAATTTCTAAGGTCTTATAAGAAAGTCTAGCATATTCCACCCTTGGTTCAGAGGCTACAAACATGCCTACAAGCTGTGCAACCTGTTTAATTGTCACTTCATTTTGATTCAAAACTATATCACAAAATTCTTTAATAGATTAAGCTTTCTCTTGTGTAAGTCTAACTGTCATTGTAACCGAATCTAATAAAAATCCAAGAAAGACAACCTTCTGGCTTGCATAAAACTGAGTTTTATCAGGGTGAATAGTAAATCCAAGACTATCTAAAGACCTAACAGTGTCTCTTAAATTAATTTCACACTCATCTTTCGTATTGCCCAATAACAAAACATCATCTATGTAAATAACATTCAAATGACCAAATTTCCTAAGTTCAGCAAAAACAGTCTTCATGATTTTTGTAAAAATACGTGGGGCACTGGCTAATCCCATAGGTAGACAGGTGAACTGATATGTTTTATTTTCCCACCTGAATCTTAAAAATTGTCTACTACATTCATGAATTTTCACAGAATAATAAGCATCTTTGATATCAAGTGAGCTAAACCAACAATTTGGTTTTATTAAAGATAATGCTGACCTCAATGTCCCCATCTTGAAATGATGATTGTCAACAAACTCATTTAAATTCTTTAAATTCAGAATAATTCTAAAAATTCTCATTTTCATTAACACTCTCTACAATTCCCTTCTCTAAAAATTTTTCTACTTCTCTTTGAGCTGCTTCATATTCAATTTCAGAAAATTTTAGCGAATTTGGTATGTGAAATTGAAAAGGTTCATATTTGAATTCTATCTTGTAACCTTTAACAGCATCAAGAATCCAACTATCGTGAGTTAATGTACACCAATTATGTAAAAAAAATTGTTGATTTTGCCTACAGTAAATTTTTTAGGCGTGTTTTTCAATACAAATTGATCTACAATTGTACAATTATTAGACATACTAACATCATGGGTATCTACTGATTTGACTCTCCTTTCTTCTTTTTCTTGTTGAAGCTGAACTGTTTGGCCAAAAAAGAATTGCCTTTTTCGGTCCCGTACCTTGGCTTCTTCCCGTAGCTATGGGACACTTTGGGAATTCTGTATTTTCCACCAAAATCATTATTTCCTATCTTTTGAGCCAGTTTCTTTGCCTCTAGCACATTCTTAACTTGACTGCCCAAGTCGTCTCCGAATAAATTTTCTGAAGAGCTCTCTGCAGAACACAAACTTACAAATTGTTTGTTTTTCTCTGGCTGGATAATTTGTTCCCGCCTCTTGTAGGACAAATTGTGGAAAACACATTTCTGAAACTTCAGGATGTCACCACACAACTGTTTTGCCTTCTTTACATCAACCAATCCTTTTTTCGAGTTGCAATTAATAAGCATGTCAAAAAGTCTCAATGTCAGAATCATGGCTTTTCCTATGAGATTCTGGGTAGTCTGCAATTTAATATCGCTTGCTCTGTTTTTGGATGACATGTTTTCCCAAATGACTTTGTTGACTTTTGGCGCAGAAACATTGTTAATGTTTTTCGGCCTATCATACTTGTTGGAGATTTCTTAAATTTTCTCCGAGTTAGTTTTCGTCATGAACATTTTCTCCATAATCTTTGCCAGTTCAGAACTTAACGGTTCGCTCGTCTTGTCTTCATCACCGAAAAATTCGGACAGTTCATTAAGAGCAGAAACCTTATCATCATCTGACGAATCATGAATACTATCATCTCCCTCAATAAGGGAATTAAGTGCTTCATCGGCATCCGAATTGTCTGAATTTTCTACATCAGAGTCATTATCACTAAGTTCGTGAGAAGGACGAATGCATGCTTGAGACGTTTTCGTTTTCTTGCGAGGTGGCGAACTACTCTTATTCTGTCCGCGTTTCCTCGAAACGTCCGGAATTGTATCCGTTGAAGACCGGTCAGACTTCAAAGCAATAAGTTCCTTTTAAACTGAAGTCATGGTCTTAGACATATCTGCAAATTTACGCATGAAATTACGCATGAAACGCATATTTTCAGTATGCTGCTTCGAATGCTTCGTGTTATCGTCACGAACGGCATCCTCGTCAACTTGATCTACTAAATCATAGCTGGTGGATTCTCGCATTTGCGATGATGGTCCCGGCTCATTAGCCATGCCGCCAAGAAAGAATGCAATGGGATTCTAAGATACTCTCAAACGCTTACTCCACACCACATGACGTGTAAAAGCAAAATGGCGCACGGGGCTACAGCCCCTGCATCAGTGACGTCACTGAATCAAATGCTGCACGTCTTGATCAACACATGTTGAAAGAAATGCAACGCTAATTGCAACAGATTCCCACATGGGAAAAGTGCAAAGAACATGTGTTCTGTACTAGCAATATTACTACAAACCACTGGCTACAAAACCAGTGGAATTTTAAATAAAAGGATTAAAAAAATCCGAAAAGAATTACGGCTAACATCACTCGTGTCTGAACTATGAAAAGACACAAACTTCTATGATTACGTGACCTTGAACTTCATCTCATTTGAGACTGAGGCTCTCAATGGGGAAAAATCATATATTAAATATGAGTTCTTCGGCAATTTATGTAAAAAGCACAGTTTTCACATACACTGTTATTTTCATTTTCTTGGCAGAGATAATTCATAAACAGTTTTCCGCTCAGTGTAGTGACCATGCTTACTTTCAAAGTGAATTTCTTTGCGAAGTCAGTAGGAAAATTCATGAGGGTTTTCTGTCTTTAGGACATCTTTAGTAGAAGTTTTCAACTGTGAAAAAAAAATTGCCTCAAGATTTATTATGATATGCTGTAAGTTGCATTCTTATTGAATGACCCTCGTATTATAATTAAACCTGACAAACCTCTGTTTGCTCTGCCGATTTGTGTTCTTTAAATTGAGTTGTTATTTAATAGTACTGTTTGTTATCTCCACATTTTATATTATTTTTTTTCTCTATAAAAAGGTGTAGCAATAAGTTTGTGATCTACAATTGTGAGAAACAAATTGTTGAATGGATAAGTCTGCAAAATTTGATTTGTAGTTGAGTTCAGTATGTCTCGATATTTCATAAACATGAAAGCAATGTTTTGTTTTCCCTGTGATTTATTTTGAGAATTTGTTTTGACTCTACAGTGAGACCTTCTGGAGGTATATCTTCCCTGACATGTGGCTGTGGAGCATCTGTCTGTCAAATTGGTTCAGTTTCTGGAAGAACGAGTAAGACGTTTACATTTTAATATTATTATTAGAAAATGCCAAGTTTCTATGTTGTGACATTTTGAAAAAGTTACAGTTGGATGGAAATGAATAATGATGGTTATTGTTTACAAGGCTTCAAGTTTTTCAATCTCCTATTAAATTCAGGATTTTTCCTGGATAAAGGTATCTTTAAAGAAAGAAAATGATGACCCTTTATTGTGATTTTTCATAATACAATTTCCTCACTTTTCAACATTTTTACCATCAAGTTGTCGCTTTTTTCGACATTTTTCACTCGCGCATTTTCGAAAAATAAGGAAGACTGGTTAAGCAGTGAACTTCATCAATCAGAAACAGGACTGTAAGTATTGTACTTATCTATTCATCGAATTGTTATATCTTTTTTTATTTATAGTATATGATGTAGATTTCTAACGAATATTCAAAAATTGTGTTTGTGATTCAAAACGATGTCAAGTATTTATTGTTTCATAGCTCCAAAGATGAAAAAGTTCTTGTGTAGCATATTCCAGTAGAGAAAGATACATAACAATTTTAATTTTAAAACGATGGTTAAGCAAACTTAAGCGGTTAAAAGTTTTTAATTTATTTTTATGAAGAATGATATTTGGAAAAATAATTGTTTTTTTCAATCACCTTTCAAGAGGTTTAGTACCATTCACGGTAGCTCTGTCGCGATCGGTTGAGCGCTCACTCTGTGATCTTGAGGTTGTGAGTTCGTATCTCGGCCGCGACTGACCTAAGCTGAAAAAAATGAGTAACAACTGTTCCTTCGCCTAATGAGACCTTAAAACAGAGACTCCGTGTCGCAGCATGCAGATGATGGCATGATAAAGATCACTCACTGCTTAATAGCCCGATGTGCCGAGTAAAGGCAAACTTTTGAAGCCATGGTGATGTCTCTATGTGAGTGAAAAAAAGATCTCGAATGGGGCATGAAACTATATATACATGAGAGCAATGAATCAAAAGTTTTATTAAATGCCCTTAACTTAAAGAACCCTGTATCAGAATTGAATGCATGGTATCTTTTATTTTAAAAATTATAAAAAAGAAATTAAAGTTTCTGATATTTTTTTAGGAAGTCTCTAGCTCAGCATTGATAAAAAGGTGTGAATGAAGCGTGTTTGCTGGACTTTTGAACTCTAACATCGTTAGTTATCTCCACATATTACATTTGGAAGAGAATACTCCTTCACCACTGTTAATATTTAGTGAAGAGTAAAGATATAAGCTTGGTAGAACATTTTCCAAAACCCGCTGTGTATCTTTGTTTTAAGGATTTTTATGACGTTTTGGAATCCAGTATAGATATGGTAATTCAAATTCATTCTGGATGCATGTTTACTTACATGTTGAAGAGACTTTTAGCACTTAGAAGTTTTTTGTGGTAAAAAATCTTGTTCATGAAATAGAAGTTACGGGTCCCACAATATGTTAAACTAGTTTATCCTGCTGTTGTTTTATATATTATGGTCTCACTTGTTTTAGTAATTAAGACACGGTTCTCATTGTACACAAGATATGGAATATATGGAGATAACAAATAGTTTTTATGTTCAAAAGTCCATAAAAACAATATAAACTAGTGCTAATTGTAACGGGAACCGTTACAGATGTTCCCCAAACGCTCCCCAACTCCCTTTCGGTGCCATATTCCCTGTAAGCTTCATTAAATAAGACAAACTCTGTGCATTTTTGACTTTAACAACGTTTTCCCACAAGGATACCAATTATATTCAATTTTTAGCATTGCACCCAAGCGCATGTGAATGCATGTGCGTTATGACCATATCATCTTGTCTACACTATTTATATATTTTAATATACTATATATTAAAGCATTCAGTCCAAAAGTAATAAAAATCACTCATTCAAGAGTATTTTTAAATATACTCGTTTCAAATGCACGCACGTGCGTGGACGTGCATGATGATCATACCTTCTTGTAGCACGTGTATGCATGTGCATGGTTACCATATCTTCTTGTAGAAGTCCCTTACATCTATCTATGTTCTAAATCCCATCCTGTTTGGTGGAAAAACAAGGGAGTTATAGCCATTTAAAGTTTCAGCCAATCAGATTGCAGCACACGTGCATCCGCGTAATTTCATGATTTTTTTTATATCATTTTGTAGGATATCCTAATGCATGACTATATTTTAAATTTCAAAGAATTTCGTCAAAAAACAAAGGAGAAATAGCAATTTAAAGTTTCAGCCAATCAGATTGCAGCACACGTGCATGCGCGTGATTTCATGATTTTTTTTCTATATCATTTCATAGGATATCCTAATGCATGACTATGTTTTAAATTTCAAAGAATTTCGTCAAAAAACAAAGGAGAAATAGACATTTAAAGTTTCAGCCAATCAGATTGCAGCACTCGTGCATGCACGTAATTTCATGATTTTTTTCTATATCATTTTGTAGGATATCCTAATGCATGACTATGTTTTAAATTTCAAAGAATTTCGTCAAAAAACAAAGGAGAAATAGACATTTAAAGTTTCAGCCAATCAGATTGCAGCACTCGTGCATGCACGTAATTTCATGATTTTTTTCTATATCATTTTGTAGGATATCCTAATGCATGACTATATTTTAAATTTCAATGAATTTCGTCAAAAAACAAAGGAGATATTGCCATTTATAGTTTCAGCCAATCAACTTGCAGCACGCGCACATACGCATGCTTTCATGAAAATTCTTATATATCATGTGGTAGATCTTCATAATGTAGGACTATGTTCAAAATTTCAAAGGATTATGACAAGAAACAAGAAAGTAATTGAGACTTTAGTTTCATCCAATCAGAGCGAAGCGCACGTGCATGCGCGTGAGATCTTGCTATTTTGACCATGCTATCTTGTTTATACTACTAATGTATCCTTACATTATGAGTTTCAAAAAATTTCATCAAAAAAATAGAAAAGTTACGGCAATATCCATTATATTGGTAATTTCACCTATTGCACGTGCGCGCTCTTGCAAGCACGTGCGCGCAAAATGACCTTTGTTTGGCAACTCTACATAACATGCCTACTAACCCTAAAAAGGTTTCACCTAAGTCAGATGTGTAGTTTACAAGATCACTCGTGGACAAAATTTTCCCAGGAAGAAGAAAAATAATAATAAGACTAGAAACTCTTGTTGCTACAGCAGCAAATAAGGTCTTCCGTTCTTCTCTACTTATCTTTACAAAGAATATTTTTCTATTAAAAAAAACAGAATGCAAAAAAGAAAAATA